AGCTTCGATGATTAAAATGAAAAATTTGGGCGGTAGGTTGCTTGCAGCAAATCCATCGAGGATGTTCTGTGCTGGTGAACCGCGCGCCACCTCGTGGGGGCTTGGGCTGGGGCAAGTGAACCTTCGTGTGTTGCTTCTCCAGTCCTTCGTCCCCACTAACGCGCCGCGCTGGGCTTCTCGCTCCTCGGCTTGGACGGCTGACAAATGACAGCAAATGAAACCCAATGGAAGATATTCAACCAGAACGAAGTTGTCGGAGGTCAACTCGCCAACTGGTCTGTGAATTGCATCGGAAGCGACTCTACTTGTCTGGCGAACAGCCAAGATGTAGCGTGGGTACCTGACGTCATAGGGTAACTGTGCTTCAGGTAGTTTCCTTTGCCACCAGGCAGGTCACAACAGCGTCGGAGGGTTACAGTTCTGCAAGGTGACGGCACAATAACGTTGCCAGATCAGCTGCTTCGGGTCCTCACCACGAAGCCATTAGTTTCAGTGCAGTACAGTATGGTATGCGACTAGTCGAACCTCCTATTGCGATGTCGTTCCTTGATCCACAAGTTCCACCAACCACAAAAGCCGTTCGCAAGCTACACGTCGTCTTTTCATTCCCGTAAAAAAACCAGTGTTGTCTCTCTGAGTCGCTGACGATGGAAAGCAGAAGGCAGGGTGGGCTCGACAGTGGACACATTCAGACGCAACTGCCAGCTGCCAGAGTGGACGGAACGGTAAACGGATGAAAACATCTCGCAAGGTTGCGTAACTTGTGAATTCAGTTAGTGGCGGTGGTTTGCCCCTTCCATTCAGCAACTCGCGCCGCAATGCTGAGTTCAGATTTCTGGCGTGGCTAGCTGACAATGCGAATGCGGCGCGGTTCGGCCCTTCCTCACACATCACGCCCCGCCCAGCCAGCGCTACCCCGTTTCAACTTTCAAGCAGGACCCCCTCCCCCAGCCCCTCACATGGCGGAAAACGCGTCACCGCGCGCCCCGCTCGACACCTTGCCCCGTCTCAACTTTCAAGCAAACCACACATGGCACAAAAACAGCCACCATCCCAACCACCCCGTCACCAGGTTTCTGTGTGTGTTTCACCTGGCATCATGTGATGATGGAAATTTGATTCGTCACCGCCTACGGCATCAAGACCCCAAACCGAGCGTTGCAAGCAGAGAGCAGCGCGCGCGGCAGCAGCAACACACTCGGGCAGGACGCAGTTCGCCATTGGGGTTGCATTGCGTTGCATCATGGAGGCACCAAAGGGAAAGGGAGGCAGAAAGGGGAAAACGTACGGCAGAAATCCCGGGCTTGGGGTTCGCGCAACGCGCATCCAATCCCGAGACGCGTCATCTGAGGGCAATCTCGATGGCAGCCTTTCCAGCTGTCCACGTGACCGTCGATCACCTGTTCGTCTTGCATCCATCCGTCCACCCCTCCACCAGACATCACATGTGCTCTCCAGCCCCTCTCCCCTTCCGTCGAGAACTAGACACCCCTCGACATCAGCTTTCCCTCACTCCCTCGCTCCCCCCTGCGTCCCTCGATGTGTGTTTTACAGCGCTATCGGGGCTTGTATTTGACCTCAGTTCCCTCAAGCCCAACCTCAGGGATTCCTATTTTATCTTCGTACGTCTTGCTTGTTGATTTAGCAGCTTGAACGGGCTACTGAAGAACGGCTGGTATTCTCTCTTCATACTTTGTGTAGCTTCTCATCCTTTCTCCTTTCGCCAACGCAACAACAGCATTCGTACTCAGAACTTTCGCCAACGCAACAACAGCAAACCCGTTCGTACTCAGAACTTGAGCCTTCGGAATTTGTCCTCCCAAGCAGTTCAAAGCGACAGCCATGGATTTAGGCCTCTCAGACCTCGTAGCATGGAACTTACGGCACCACGTCCCCGCACCCACGCATCGCGGTAGCGTGCCCGCTCAGGGCTCGTCCGACAAGCCCGAGCCTGGCACCGAGCCGAACGCCGAGCCTTTCGCAAAGCGGCGCCGCCTCGAGGAGCCCTCTTTGATGCTTCCGGACCTGGAAGCGGACTGCAGCTCTGACGTCAGCACTTCATCCGCGGAGCACGCAACCGAACGGACGCTTCAGCCGGCGCTACAGCCGCAACGGCAGCAGCAGCAGCAGCAGAGGCCGGCGTCCCTGTCGGATTTGAGCGAGGACCTTTTATTGAAGGTGCTTCAATCGGGGCATCCGACGGCATGGGATTTGTGCCGGTTCTCGTGCGTGAGCCGGCAGTGGAAGCAGCTGTGCTACAGCCGCGTGTTTTGGACCAAGCTCCGCATCGGCCCGGGCAGCATGCATCCAGGTACGTCCCGCCTTTCTCCGAGCCGCTTCTTTCCGGCGCGCCTTTTGCCGACGCGCCTGACGCAGATTCAACGTCTGCAGCATCGTCTACGCTGGAAACACTTGCGACACGTGTAGTACGTTCGATGTGAAACCACAAAAAGTCACCGCGAAGTCCGTCCTCGTAGAGCCCGACTCTCAACATTCGAATCAGTTCGAGGCGGCTTTCATGCGCCCGAAGAAATTCGTGATTCTCCAAGGGTCCTTTGCGCCCCTCTCGTGCAATATGTTTTTTTTTTTTAGCGCGTCACCAAGTCGCGAATTCTTCACTTTAACTCTTCGAAAGCACCATCTAGAATAGAAGTCGGAAGTGACACTGATATCGCCCCCTTCCTCCTCTCCTCGCCCACCCCTCTCGCTTCGTTTTATCTCAGGCGTGGAGCTGCTCGCGGCGCGCTGCGCCAACCTGACGGACCTCTACGTGGACGACCCGCGGTGCGAGCTACACATCCTGCACCCAATCATCGTCGCATGCAGCGACTCGCTGCGACGCATCGTCATCGACTGCGACCGCGACGCGACGAGTCGCAACGAGGCGGCCATCTGCAGCATCCTCTGGATCATCTCGCTCTACTGCAAGAACGTCGAGTCGGTCGAGCTCACATCGCACGGCGTAGAGACGTCCTTCGGTCTGCTCGAGGCGCGTTCCATGTGGTACCTCACGTCGGGCTTCCGCTCCATGCGACAGTTTTCGTGCCTCGTGCGAAATAGTGTTACTCGCCAGGCCGTGTACCTGATGGTGATTGGCTGGCGAAACCTGTCGTGTCTGCGCATCCACATGGGGGCGCTAGAGGTCGAAGACCTATTGGCTCTGCGCAAGTGCACGTCTTTAAGGGTTTTGGAATTAGTAGGAGGCTCTATCCACACCCTACCCGCCTCTCTCGGCGCTCTTCCCTCGTCAGCCGCCGCGCCCGCATCCACTTTCCCCTGGCTCGGCACGAGCCGACTCGCCGTAGGCTCGGGAACAGGTTCGGGGACAGGCTCGGGGACGGGTTCGGCAGCGCCGGACGCGTTTCACCCGGAGCTGGAGGTGCTGATTCTGACGGACGTGGACTTTGATGCGGCGGTAGTGGCGACTATCGCGCTCCGGTGTCCCAACTTAAGGCGCATCGTGATTAAGGGCCTGTGCTGCGCCATGTGCGCTGCTGCTGGGTCCGCAGCTGCTGCAGCAGGAAGGGTAGCCGTAGCAGCGCCGGCTGTAGCAGCAGCGCCAGCGTTAGGGGCTGCTGTAGGGGCTGCTGTAGCAGCAGCGCCAACGGTGGGGGCGGCTGTAGCAGCCCCAGCGGTGGGGGCACCTGTAGTAGGAGCAGCAGGGACGGGGATGGTTGCTTCTGCAGCAGCGGTGGCCGCGGTAACAGCTGCAGGGGTAGCAGGGAGGGCAGGAGGGAGTGTGATGGGTTTCCCGGCAGGTGGAACCGTGATGGCCGCAGGAGCAGCTGCAGGGGCAGTAGGAGGAGCAGAGGGAGCAGGAGGAGCAGGAGGAGCAGCAGGGGCAGGGCAAGGGCGAGTGGGGGAGATGAGCGGAAGCTATTCTGGTACCGACCCCAGGAGACTGACCGGGCGCATGGCAGTAGCAGCTGCAATGGATGGCACTGCAGGGGGCGTTTTTGGAAGGCCTGTGCTTGCCAGCGCTGCTGTTCCGTCTGCTGCTGTGCCTGCTGCCGTGCCTGCTGCCGTACCTGCTGTTGTTCCTGCTGCCGTGCCTGCTGCTATGCCAGGTGGTGCCGCTGGTGTTGCGAATGATGGTGTTGCGGGTGGGGCGTTATTTCCACCCGTCAACATGACAGTCCGTGCAGCGACGTGGGGTGTGGGTGCAGCACCTTTGGGTGCGCCACCTGTAGTAGCAGGAGCAGCAGCTGTAGCAGCAGCAGGGGCAACACTACCCCCAGTAGCGCCAGTAGTAACAGGGAACCCACCTCAACCGCCTGTTGCTGCTGCTGTTGCTGCAGGGATGGGTATGGGTGCTAGTGTGGCTGTAGGGGCAACTGCAGGGATGGGAGTGGGTGGAGGGGGTGGGCTGGTGGGGGTGAATCTGTGTGTGAAGGCCAAGGTGCTGGCCCTCAGGCAGATGCTGGCCATGGCAGGGCGGCTAGACATGGTCACGAAATGAACATTTACGGTAGGAGGTAGTTACTCATTTGTAATTAGATTACTGTATGCTTGTGATGTATTGTGTATTCTGTATTGTTGTGAATGTACAGCTGATATAAGCAACCGGAGTGCACAAACAAGAGTCATCAACTAGCCCTCTGCAAGAGAGAAAGAGCTTGCCTTTCTGCACGGAGCAAGCCTTGAAAGCGCCGCACACAGAACCGAAAAACTTGGGCAGGTGGAACTGGGCAGGTGAAAATGCCCTATCAGGGGCAGGCGAAAATGGCCTATCAGGGCAGGCGGAACTGGTCTATCAGGGCAGGCGGAACTGGCCTAGCTTGCCCGGGTTAAATATATTCAGTGGGTCCCATGCAGCCTTGAGTGCTGCCATTGCATCCAGTGCTGCACTCCCATGCTCCAACTCCAAGAATGGCAACTTGCCATAGCTGCTCGGGAGGCAATATTGATGAAGGGGAGAGAATGGGATGAGGCGAGGGAGGGAGGAAGGGGCAGACAGAAGGGAGGGGGTGGGAGAGCATGTTTGTGTGGTGCCGAAGAGATTAAGCGGGTCCCATGCTGCCTTGAGTGCTGCCATGGCTTCCAGTGCTGCCCGCCCATGCTCCGACTCCAAGAATGGTAACTTGCCATAGCTGCTCGGGGGAAATTATTGATGAAGGGGAGAGAGATGATGGAAGGGGAGAGAGATGATGGAAGGGGAGGGAGATGATGGAAGGGGAGGGAGATGATGGAAGGGGAGGGAGATGATGGAAGGGGAGGGAGATGATGGAAGGGGAGGGAGATGATGGAAGGGGAGGGAGATGATGGAAGGGGAGGGAGATGATGGAAGGGGAGGGAGATGATGGAAGGGGAGGGAGATGATGGAAGGGGAGGGAGATGATGGAAGGGGAGGGAGATGATGGAAGGGGAGGGAGATGATGGAAGGGGAGGGAGATGATGGAAGGGGAGGGAGATGATGGAAGGGGAGGGAGATGATGGAAGGGGAGGGAGATGATGGAAGGGGAGGGAGATGATGGAAGGGGAGGGAGATGATGGAAGGGGAGGGAGATGATGGAAGGGGAGGGAGATGATGGAAGGGGAGGGAGATGATGGAAGGGATGAGGGGAGATGATGGAAGGAGATGAAGATAATGGAAGGAGGAAGGGGCAGACAGAGGGCTGCCTTGAAAGCTGCCATGGCATCCAGTGCTGCGCTCCCATGCTCCGACTCCAAGAATGACAAATTGCCATAGCTGCTCGGGGGATGTGCAAAGGAGTTGAATGGAGGGAAGAAGGAAGGGGGAGATGAGGAGTCGGAAAAGGGGAGATGGGAAAGGGGATAGCGAACAACACAACCGAGCCAGGCTGCCTCCCCAACAGAGTGTAGATTACCTCAATCCAACCCACGCCATGCCACTTGCCACACTCCATGCCACTCACCCAATCCATGCCACTCACTGCATCCCATGCCATGCCATGTGCCATGCCACTCACCCCACGCCGTGCTCGCCGCTGCATGTGCCGCCCACAGCAATGGCACGCGCCACAAGACTGTCGTTGACTCGCTTGACCGCTGCCAGCTCATCCTTATTGTCCGGATCCACCTGTTGCAAGGAAGTTTAGATGGATGGAAAAGACATGGCAGGAATCACTTCTGAGAATTCTCGGTAGTTTGACGGTGGAGTTTAATCAGGTCTGGTGAGAGGCAGCAAGACCGCTGTTGACTCGCTTGACCGCTGCCAGCTCATCGTTATTGTCCGCATCCACCTGTTGCAACGAGCGGACAGACGTGTGGCAGGAAAGGAAGGAAGGATGGAAAGATTTGATATGGTAACAAGCAGCAGGTCCAGGCAGCAAGACTGTTGTTGATTTGCTTGACCAAAGCAAGAGCGTGGAATCTGCCATCCCCAACGTGCCACACACACGCCCCTTACCCCACTATCAGCAATCACGTGCCCCACACAGCCCACTGTTAGCACCTGCTGTCAGCACCTGCTGTCAGCACCCACGTGCTTGACAGATCGACTCACAATGAAGAGCACGTGCAAGTTGCCATCCCCCAAGTGCCCCACTTCTGGCTCACAATGAAGAGCACGTGCAAGTTGCCATCCCCCACGTGCCCCACTTCTGGCTCACAATGAAGAGCACGTGCAAGTTGCCATCCCCCACGTGCCCCACTTCTGGCTCACAATGAAGAGCACGTGCAAGTTGCCATCCCCCACGTGCCCCACTTCTGGCTCACAATGAAGAGCACGTGCAAGTTGCCATCCCCCACGTGCCCCACTTCTGGCTTACAATGAAGAGCACGTGCAAGTTGCCATCCCCCACGTGCCCCACTTCTGGCTCACAATGAAGAGCACGTGCAAGTTGCCATCCCCCGCATGCCCCACCATGGGCGCCACTAGCTGGTGGGGCATGCGGGGGATGCCCCACATCACCCACATGTTTTACATGCCTCACATCACCCACATATTTTACATGCCCCACATGTTTTACATGCCCCAAATGCCCCACATGCCCCACATGGCCACATGGCCCACATGCCCCACATGTTTTACATGCCCACATGCCCCACTTGCCCCACATGGCCCACATGGCCCACGTGGTCCACATGGCCCACATGCCCCACATGTTCTACATGCCCACATGGCCCACATGCCTTCAGCTCAACGTACAATGAAGAGCACGTGGAAGTTGCCGTCCCCCACATGGCCCACTATTGGCGCCACCAGCTGAGCCTGCTCTATCTGCTGCTTCGCCAGCACCACCAGCTCTGTGAGACGTGATATAGGCACACACACATCCGCTAGGAGGCTGGGGTAGGGGGGGTGGGAAGGATGGATAGAAAAGAAGAAGAAAGAGAGAGCGAGGTTGGGAAGGGCGTGTGATCGTGGAAGACGAGTTACCAGCTGGGCCTGTCCTATCTGCTGCTTCGCTAAGAGCACCAGCTCTGTGAGCCGCGATATAGGCACACACACGTCCGCTAGCAGGCTGCTAACGAAGGGCTGGGATTGGCAAACGACAGGAGGAGGGGGGTGGTACATTGGGAGGAGAGTGTGAATGTCAGAGACTGGTTACCAGGTGTGCGTGCTCTATCTACTGTTTCGCCAGCAGCACCAGCTCTGTGAGGCGCGATATAGGCACACACAAATCCGCCAGGAGGCTGGGGTAGGGAAACGACGGGACACGGGGGAGAGGGAGATTGGGAAGGGAGTGTCCTTATCAAAGACGAGTCCAGTGCGGATCTGCTGCTTCGCTAGGAGCACCAGCTCTGTGAAGCATGAGATAGGAGCATGCACACATATGCTAGGAAGGTGGATTGGGGGGGTTGGGAGGGATGGATAGAAGACAGTGAGAAGGGGAGAGGGAGGTTAGGAAGGGCGTGTGACAACTGAAGGCTGCAATACCCTCAACTGAAGTCGTGCCTGCTTTATCAGATGCTTCACCTGCAGCACCAGCTCTGTGAGGTGTGAGATAGGAGCATGCCCATCCGCTAGAAAGCATGAGGTGTGACTGAGGACCTGCCTGCTGTGCTGTTGGCTCACCCACCCTTTGCTGTTGGGTCTGAGCGCCAAGGCAGCATAGTAGGCGGAGTGGCGGGCAGCCCAGAGCTTGGATCGCTCCTCAGGAGCCGTCGACCACGCAAACGAGCCCCCCCCATTGCCAGATGCAATCTCCGAAACCTGCTTGGCTTGCTCCTCCACGGCAGCCGCAGTGCCGTGGAACTCAAAGAAGAGCGTGGGGCTTGGGTGCAGGTGCGTCTTGGAGTAGCGATTCACTGCATCTACCTGCGGGGGTTCACGACATGAGACGATAGAGCGCATCATCGCCTGAACCGTATCAACGAGTTCCATGCAAAGAAGAAAGCCTAAAGTTGAGTCGACTCAAAAACAGGTTCAAAACATGAGATGATAGAGCGCACCAGCATCATCACCTGAACCGTATCAACAAGTTCCATGCAGAGAAGAGAGCAGTACGTGACAAGAAAAAATGGTGGTTGGGAATCACAAAAAGTGAAATCTTTGAGCCCCACCTGAACCTCGTCCAGGAGCTCTATGCGTGCGACGGGGATGGCGCTTTGAATGGTCTCTATCACCGCATCCACCTGAGGGGTGAGGGTGAGGGTGAGGGTGAGGGTGAGGGTGAGGGTGAGGGTGAGGGTGTAGGTGAGAGTAAGGGTGAGGGTGAGGGTGAGGGTAAGGAGGGTGCGGGTGCAGCAGGTGCAATGCGGGAGAAATTTGTGGATCAGCTATGTTGGATACGCTTTTCGAGGATTCACAAAAGCGTGACAAGCATGGCAGCTTGAATCGTCTCGATCATTGTGTCCACCTGAGGGTGCGGGTGTGGGTGTGTTGTTTGAGCGACAAAAAGGGTGGAGGGGGAAAAGGCAGAGGGGAAAAGGTGGAAGGAGAAAGGCGGAGGCGGAAAGGTGGGGGGGGAAACGCGGAGGGGAAGGCGGAGGGGGGATTTGGAGGAGGAGAGAGCGTGGAGAGGTGAGTGTACTCACAGCACCAGCAATGGAGGTGAAGGGGCAGACAGCAGCTGAGACAGCCTCGGGTTGGGGATACAGGCGAAGAGCCACCTGCATGCATGGTGCATGTGGCATGGGGCATGGGGCACGGAGCATGATGCATGATGCATGCAGGTTGGGGTACAGGCGAAGTGCCACAAGCAAGCAAGCAGAGTGGATGGGATGGTTGCAGGAGGAAGGGAAACCTGCAGGCACTTTGCATCAGCAAACGCCACCACCACCGCCACCGCCGCCGCCGCCGCCGCCGCCGCCGCCACCGCCACCGCCACCGCCACCGCCACCGCCACCGCCACCGCCACCGCCACCGCCACCGCCACCGCCACCGCCACCGCCACCGCCACCGCCACCGCCACCGCCACCGCCACCGCCACCGCCACCGCCACCGCCACCGCCACCGCCACCGCCACCACCACCACCACCACCACCACCACCACCACCACCACCACCACCACCACCACCACCACCACCACCACCACCACCACCACCACCACTTGAACCTGCTAAAGCGTCACCTCACACGCTGCTGCCCCATACCTCGGTGACAACAGCCAGTGTGCCCTCGCTCCCCACAATCAGGCGAGTTAAGTCGTAGCTGAAACCATCAATACAGGCGGGCAATGCAGCAAGAGCGAGTGTGTGGAAGGGAGGGAGGGGAGGGTGATGAGGTGGAGAAGGGCGATGAGGGGTACATATGGTGGTGGGCGAGGAGGGAAGAGGGGGAAAAGGGGGAGTGAAGCATGAGGGAGCAGAGCAGGGGGAGGAGAGGTGAATGGCAGGGGAGGGGTGAGTGGGATAAGAGGGGAGAGTGGGGAGAGGGGGGTGGACGGGGGGATAGTGGCTGCTTTGGACGAATGCTTACATTGGTACATTGATACAGGCATTTCTCATTTTGGTAGTCATAGGCAGGCAGTGGAAATGTGAGATGCCTCAAAAGCCACGGATGGGGGCAGTTGTTGTGTTGGGTGCGTGGAGTAATTACAGGCATGCAGTGGAATGGGAGTTTTTGAGACGTCTCAAAAACACCCTCAATTTGCGTGGAGTAATTACAGGCACGCAGTGGAATGGGAGACACAGCGGGCAGCTCACCCTGAGGAGGACTTTCGTGCTCGGCTGCCCGTTTTTATGATCTGCCCGTTGGGCAGCACTGCAGTGACCCCCAGCACTGCCTCTCGCATCGTGCCGTACCTGGTGTGCGGTGGGGCATGGTAGGGCGTGGTGGGACATGGTGGGGCGTGGTGGGGCATGGTGGGGCGTGGTGGGGCATGGTGGGGCGTGGTGGGGCATGGTGAGGTGTGGTGGTGAGTAGACGATATTTAAAGGGGGAAAATAGGTGGGGAGTGGGAAAAAGAGCAGGAAGGGGGGGGGAAGGGGAAAGGGGGAAAGGGAGCAGGAAGGTGGGAATGGAATAAGAGGTATGGAATGCGAAACATAACATGGCATGGGGAGAGAAGGCATGGCATGGGATGGCATGGAATGATGGCAGAGCATACCGAACAGCATTGGTGCCTGAAGCTCTTGTTGCTGTCATCCCCCCTGTAGTTGTGCGCACTCACACACATGGTAAGGCACGCATAGGGGGGGAGAGAGAGACACACGGGGGGAGGAGAAGACGTGCTGTGGCTGCGTGGCATGCTGCCATGTACAGTACAAGGTTGGTTTGAATTCTGGAGTTATATTGATAACTGTTTGTACCTATGGTGCATTCCGAGCCTGCCACGCACCTATGGCGCATTCCGAGCCTACCACTCACCTATGGTGCATTCCGAGCCTGCCACTCACCTATGGTGCATTCCGAGCCTGCCACGCACCTATGGTGCATTCCGAGCCTGCCACGCACCTATGGTGCATTCCGAGCCTGCCACCCACCTATGGTGCATTCCGAGCCTGCCACTCACCTATGGTGCATTCCGAACCTACCACTCACCTATGGTGCATTCCGAGCCTGCCACGCACCTATGGTGCATTCCGAGCCTGCCACCCACCTATGGTGCATTCCGAGCCTGCCACTCACCTATGGTGCATTCCGAGCCTACCACTCACCAATGGTGCATTCCGAGCCTGCCACTCACCAATGGTGCATTCCGAGCCTGCCACTCACCTACGGTGCACTCCGAGCCTGCCACTCACCTACGGTGCACTACGAGCCTACCACTCACCTATGGTGCATTCCGAGCCTGGGTCAACGGGGAAAAAGAGGCCCGAGTCGTGCAGATGGTGGTTGAGCTGCTGACGTGTCACCCCTGCCTGCACCCTGCAGTCCATGTCCTCTGCATGTACCTCCACCACCTGAAGACAAAAAGAACAAAAGCACAAGGGGGTGCAGGATTGACAAGCTTATCACCCGTGCCTGGATTCTGCAGTCCATGTCCTCTGCATGCACCTCCACCACCTGAAGACAAAAAGGAATAAGACAAACCATTTCCAAGCCACAAAAATTCCGAGGTGATTGAAAAAATGACTGGAGTAACACCCTGCACTCTGCTCTCTCCACTCTCCATTCTCCACTCTCCATTCTCCACTCTCCATTCTCCACTCCCCACTCTCCAATCTCCACTCTCCATTCTCCACTCTCCACTCTCCATTCTCCACTCCCCACTCTCCAATCCGCACAACTTCATCATCACCTGCTCGACCATGCGCCACCGTTACCTGGTAACCGCACCGTACCTCATTCATCTGCGACAGGTCAATGGAGACGCCTCCACAGAGCGCTGCCACGTGGCCTTCCAAAGACGTGCCGGCGCCATAGGGAATGACGGGCACGCGGGCGGCAGCGCACGCGGTTACCAGCTGTTGCACTTGGTGGGTGGAGCGGGCGAATGCGACCGCGTCTGGTGGGACAGCCTCGTGGTATGACTCGTCCCTGCCATGCTGCTCCAACACCTGTTGTTGACATGGTAACATAGGGAATAACGGGCATGCAGGAGCGCACGCGGTTACCAGCTGTTGCACTTGGTGGGTGGAGCGGGCGAATGCGACCGCGTCTGGTGGGACAGCCTCGTGGTATGACTCGTCCCTGCCATGCTGCTCCAACACCTGTTGTTGACATGGTAACATAGGGGATAACGGGCATGCAGGAGCGCACGCGGTTACCAGCTGTTGCACTTGGTGGGTGGAGCGGGCGAATGCGACCGCGTCTGGTGGCACAGCCTCGTGGTATGACTCGTCCCTGCCGTGCTGCTCCAACACCTGCTGACATGGCAACATACATAGGGAATGACGGATATACACGCGGGAGCACATGTGATGATGATGCCATAATGCCATGCAATCAATCATCTCACCATGCTAAGCCACCATACCATCATGCCACCATTCACGCAACCCACCATACATTCCCCACGTAAATTCCACAATTTAAGCATACCAGGTGCGTGTATTCCGATTACCGACGTATTTTCCCATGATTCTGGCATCCCACGTAAATTCCCAATAACCAAGCATCCCACGTGAATTCCCGCTATTCAAGCATCCCACGTATATTCCCATTTTTTAGGCATCCCACGTTTATTCCCATTATTCAAGCATTCCACGTTCACTCCCATTACTTAAGCATTCCACGTTTACTCCCGTCACTCAGCATCCTCTGTATGCTCCCAATCCCACCGTTCGGTTCGTCGACACGTTTGAGTCGCCCACGATGGATCGCAAGCGACGCAGGAATTCGTCGTCCACTCGCCCGTACGACGTCCATCGCACAGCAGGAACGTCGCAGAGGCTCCAGTTCACGGGGTTGTCGCCAGGGTTGATGTTTCCGCATCGCCTGGTAGTCGCAGGAGATGCGTCGATTTCTGACTTTTGAGTCGACTCAAAAGTGTTTCCGCATCGCCCGTTAGCAGCAGGAGACGCGTCGGTTTCCGGAGAATCTGCTACCCCTGCCGACGTCCGTCTTTGTAAGTCTGTTGCCGATTCCGGGTCGCGACTCCTGTTCGCGACGTCGCTACTACTACTGTAACTCCGTTTCGCATCGTGACCGTAACGCCTTCGCCAACTCGCAACGGCGTCGCTACTATCGTCGCTTTTCCCAGCAGCACACGGGCCGTTTCGGCGACTCCTCCGAGGAGTCCTAGCGTCAAGGTCGTAACTGCACAATAGCGATTCCCACTGGTCGATTCCAAGAGAACAGTCGAAATTGAAGGAGCTCGCCGATTTCTCCAGAAAAAGAGGACCCGACAACGGCGGAGATTGAATGTGCGCGCGACGCGCTACGGGAGGAGATTGGTGGCTAGTGGTAGTGAGGCTGGAATCAGCAAAGAACGCCACGATGCTCCTGCCGGCGCGTTGCAAGAACCGCGGCGAAGCGCAACGAGCAGAACATGGGATCATGATAACGGCTACTAGGTGCGAAGCGCTCGGCGAAGAGAGAATCGTCACGGGTCACGCTTCCATGACAGGCTGACGTAGTGGGCTAGAAATGCCTGGGAATCTGGGGGCCTCGATGTGGGTGCCTTGGTGTTGCCGAAATATTCTCTCTGTTGAATGACTCTGGTTTCGGATTGTGGTTGGCATTCGACTGCAATGTAACGGGTACTTCATATATTTTCGTCCGTAATCAACGTAAACGGAGTACACTCGCGTTTCCGAATTTGCGATGTGATGTTCATAAGCCTGATTCTAATGTGTGGAGGCGAGGATATTTCTGATTGGCTTAGCTTTGCGTGTGTCGCGCGTTGGCCCTTAGTTTGGCCTTTGCGTATTTCGCGCGTTGGGCCTTGCTTGGTTTGGCCTTCGCGTGTTTCGCGGGTTGCACAGTTTAATTTTGCTCAGAACACGTGAACATTGCTTGTTTGAAATCCCGGACTGGAGAATGGAGACTTGGGGGGATCGAGCATTCCTCCACACCCCGTACGCTTCCTTTGCCCAGACACCCTATATGGTTTTCGATTCGACTGTACGGGCACCCTGACATTACAGGTCTAACAATAAATACGGTAATCAGAAAGCCAGACTCGCGATACTCACACTTACAGAAGGATTGAGTGGGAAATCAATTCTGAAAGTTTGTACTTCCGGAAATCACGCGAAGAGAACGCGTCTTTCTAATCACAAGAACTCGAATCTTGATGCTAACCACCTTCGAAATCAAATTTGATGAGGAAGGTTACCCAGAGGCGTGAAGAAGTATCGCAGTACAGGTCATACTGTTTTTCCAACGCTAGCTGCCAAGACAAGTCAGCCGCGCACGGGGACGAGGGCAGGTGAAGCAAGATGAGCATTCAATGTCGCACATGATCATCCAATGAAAATATATCACACAGCTTGCAGATCGGGAGAAAGAAAACGTGTGGGTGGTTGGAGGTACGCGCACAAGGAAATGCGTAGAGCAAACTCTGCAGATCCGTAGTGTATTATGCACGGATGGCATCACAAAAATTCTTGAAAAATCAATTATAGTACATATCGAAACTCTGAACCGTGCCTGGGACAGGAAGGCAAAGAACTGTACAGTTTCGAACCGGTGGGAAAGTCTAGACGGTGCACATCTGAAACCCTGATGCGTGCCCGTGACGAGGAAGATAAGAACAGGATTTAACTGACGGGATTGGCTGACCACTTGCGCTTGTCCACTGTCCGCACAAATTGTTCCACCACCCCTCCCCCACCAGTGTAAACCAGAAGCACAAAACCAGCCCATTTGGGGTTGAGCAACAGAAGTTGAAATTGTGTAGCGGCAATCCATTCAATCTTTCTAGTTTGTTCAGCAGCCAGTTGCACCAAGGTCCGAGTTCTGTTAGTATTACTACTACTAGTAGGCGACTCATAGTCATTACGGTATCCAGCTCGAGCCACAGGGCACACCGTGAGTGTGAGTGCTCCCCGTGGTGGCAACAGTCGGGCGAAATACTGGGGATTTAACCAGTTCATCTCCTTCAGTTTCGGCCACGAAATTAGACCAGCAGCGTGATAAATCCAGTCTCTCTCTTCTTGGAATTTATGGGGGTAGACCTTCAGTTCTGACTCACTAGTAGTACTAGTACTAGTAGGAGCCGCATCAGACCTCCGTTTTCCGGGAGAGCTTCTGAAAATAGGTGATAACCCGCCGGGACACCTAGCAGATGTCACAGCAGCAGATGTCACAGCAGCAGATGTCACAGCAGCAGATGTCACAGCAGCAGATGTCACAGCAGCAGATGTCACAGCAGCAGATGTCACAGCAGGAGATGTCACAGCAGCACTGGTCACAGCAGCAGATGTCACAGCAGCAGATGTCACAGCATCAGATCTCACAGCAGCAGATCTCACAGCAACAGATATCACAGCATCAGATGTCACAGCAGCAGACGGCACAGCAGCAGATGTCACAGCATCAGATGTCACAGCAGCAGACGGCACAGCAGCAGACGTCACTACAGCCACAACCACAGCCACAGCCACAGCTACATTCACAGCCAGAGCTACAGGTTCAGCCAGAGCAGCTACCACCACACCGGATCCAGCAGCTCTCCTCTCAGCTACAGCCGCTGCTACAGCCGCATTTGCCGCAAGCACAAGAACAGGATGAGGCTGCAACTGGTGCAGGGCCATCAGGGCCATTGGGGTCATTAGAGCCATTAACGCGTGGAACCAGGCGCACCAGATTGCCGCAGAGCCGCAACTACAACCAGCCAGGGCGGTACCGGGGAGTTCGGAAGCGGGGGGAGTTTCGTTACATTGCAGAGATCAAAGATACCAATAGCGGGGTCCGCCAGTGGTTGGGTACGTTCCGTTCTGCAGAGGACGCTGCTAGGGCGTTTGATGAAGCTGCTCTGAAAATCCGAGGAGCAAAGGCGAAGCTTAACTTCCCAAGACGGTATCTTCAGAAAGGGGGAGGGGCAGTAGCACTGGGCTCGGATCCTGCAGCCTCATTGGGTGCAGCAACAAGGATGGAAACAGCAGGAAGGGTTGCAGGGCAGGATGATGGAGAGACTGGCATGTTAGTGCAATCACATGGGGTAGTAACGCAGGTTACGGAGGGCAGTAGTGCTAGGAGCTGTGGAGGGAAAGGGAAGGAGGTAGGATATGGTGAAGAATCTGCAGCAGGGGGATTGGTGGGAGTCGGTGTGGGTCAGACGATGCAGAGAGAGGGAAGACGTGGGGAAGTAACAGCGGCCTTTGCGGTGCCTCACAGGCCGTTTGGAGAGGGATCAAGTAGAGAAGTAGCAGCGAGCTTTGCGGCACCTCGGAGGCCGTTTGGAGAGGGATCAAGTAGGGCTGCGACAGAATCAATAGACGATGCAGGTGCAGGATCAGAGGCCATGGGGAGGGATTCATCTGCACTGGTAGGAGGGGAATGCGGAGGAGGAGAAAGAGGAAGAGGAAGAGGAAGAGGAAGGGGAAGGGGAAGAGGAAGAGGACGTGGGAGGGGAGGAGTAAGTGGAAGAACAGGAGAGGGGGGGAGAGGAGGAGGAGAAGGAGGAGGAGGAGGAGGAGGAGGAGGAGGAGGAGGAGGAGGAGGAGGAGAAGGAGGAGGAGGAGGAGGAGGAGGAGGAGGAGGAGGAGGAGGAGGAGGAGGAGGAGGAGGAGGAGGAGGAGGAGGAGGAGGAGGAGGAGGAGGAGGAGGAGGAGGCGGAGGCGGAGGCGGAGGCGGAGGCGGAGGAGGAGGAGAAGCATTACTAGCCGCAGAAACGTCAGCAGGCAGTGATAGTGGGAGCAAAGCAGGAGGAGTATACATTCCTGAAAGAAGCTCCACTGTAAGCGGTAGTAGCTCAAGCTTAGCTGCCCCTTCCTCCTCCTCCGCCCCTTCCACCTCTGCCAATTCCGCCTCTGTCTCTGCCCTCCCATCCACCTTTGTTGATATCTCAGTCCCTGAAGCTGCACACACCAGTGGCGTTCATATCCATGCCACTCTCCCCACTCACACCTCAGAATGCAACCCAGTGTTTATTGGTCCCACCCTGAATTGCCACTCAGTCCTACTGGCGGAGATGCCTAGTGCGATGATAACTGGGCTGGGGATTTTGGGATTGGACTCACTGGGAGCAGATCTGGCCGGGTTTGAGGAGATGAATTTTGAGGAGATGGAATTTGAGGGTTTGGCAGATGGTGAGGGGGAGTGGAGCTCTTTACTTGCAGAGCAGTTTGCACAGCAGCTGGGGGCAATTGACGTAACCGATGGGGCTGGGGGGAGTGGGGTTGGTGCTGCAAAAAGCAAGGAGTGGGTGGAAGGCAAGGAGGGAGTGGAAGGCAAGGAGGGAGTGGAAGAACGGGAGATGCTTTCAGATGAAGAAAGCAGTGGAAGCAGAGAGACTTCAGATGGGGAACGGGCAATGGAGGAAGGCGGAGCAATGGAGGAGGAAGAGGGTGCGATGGAGACATGGACGGGAATAGACGAGCGTTTAACGATGGAAATGGGGCCGCCTGATCGATACTTCCAGCTGCCCAGCGACAAGGATGTTCCTCACGAAAGCAGTAAGCAAATCCTGAAAACTGAAGGGATGGAGAGACAGCAAGGAGGCTGGACAGTGTCTGAGGGTAACTACATGATGGCAATTCAGCCGAGACAACAGGCGGTGCCATCGCAAGTAGGGATGGAGGGGCAGGAAGGTGGCTGCACAACATCTGAGGGTGAAAACGGCCGTGGTAACTACATGATGGGAATGCAGGCAAGCCACCAGGCGGTGCCGTTCCAAGCTGCCCAGACTGCCCAGACTGCACCATCTGATCCATCATCCTCCCAATGGCACCAGCCAGGTCAACGGGGAGAATGGGGCGAGCAGGGTCAAGCGGTCCAAGGGGCAGGTGTGGCGGTGGGTGTGGCAGCAGCAGGACCATCCGGCCATCTAGGCGTGGAGCAGATGCGTACTCCAGTAGAAACCTCAGCACTGGCAGCGGGGCTGCACGCAGTGACAGGGGAGGATGCATTGGCAAGGCAGCAAGCATTGGCTAAGCCGCAATCAGCAGGGCTGCCAGTCCCAAGCGAGCCACGAGCCGCTTCATGGGGTTTCAGTGTAGAAGTGTCCGAGGGATTAATGGCGCCTGGTGGGGATAGTTTTCTGCAAGAAGCGAAGGAGGAGGTGGAGGTACCCTGCATGACAGGTTCAGCTTCAAGCTTGCCTTCAAGTTGGCATGCTGAAACGATGCAGTATGCGCATGCCATGATGCCTCCTTTTGGGCCGTTTCAAGGGCATGATCCCAGCGCGCAGATCATCAGCGCGTGGCATAATCCCAGCGTGCGGTGTGCTTTTACCATGACCCGCAGATCATCAGTTGTTGTGATTCCGCACGTACGTCAACATCACGAGAGCCACCAGCAGCAGCAGCAGCAGCAGCAGCAGCAGCAGCAGCAGCAGCAGCAGCAGCAGCAGCAGCAGCAGCAGCAGCAGCAGCAGCAGCAGCAGCAGCAGCAGCAGCAGCAGCAGCAGCAGCAGCAGCAGCATCACCAGAACCCGCAGCAGCAGCAGCAGCAGCAGCAGCAGCATCACCAGAACCCGCAGCAGCAGTGGCAGCAGCAGCAGCAGCTGGGACAGGAACAACAGCAGGGACACCAGCATGAGCAGCACCATCGGGAGCAACAGCAGCTGCATGCATCTAGCTTCCCAAGACGCAACTCTCTCAATCTCAGCACTGGCAGTAGAGGTAAGGCAGCTGCACAGTGTGCTTCGACCGACCTTTTACACCCTAGACGTTTGGAAGCATTATCCGTGGAAGAGTGGAGGGAGCAGCAGATGTTTGGAAGCCACACCCTAGACTCGGAAAGAGACAACATAAATTTCCATCCTTACAGTCCTTGGACCGAGCCTCAACCCAAGCCTGATCCCGAACCTCCCTCCGGACCTGTACCTCTGATGCTCCGTAGCCACACTGTATGTTCTCTGCTGGAGCCACCGGTGGTCGGATTTTCAACCCCTAAGTCCCAGCCCTGTGTGGGAAACACAGGTAGTGTGAGTGGTGTGAGTGGTGTGAGTGGTACAAATGGTGCTGATGTTGCTGATGGTATGGTTATTGCTGGCCCAATGGATAGTGTAGCTGCTGCAGCTGCCAATGTGGGTAGTAGGAATGGCTTGGATACCCCAGTAAATGTCTCTGCCGGTGTGGCTGCCAATGTGGGGAGTGGGAATGGGGTGGATATTGCCGTGACGCCTACTGCCTGTGTTGCTGGTGACGCTGATGGTGCTAAACCTGTTATTGATGTGGATGGTATGGCTGGTGTGGCTGGTGTTGCTGGTGTTTCTGGTGCTGCTATTGTTGCTGGTCTTTCTGGTATTGCTGCCGCGCCTGGGGTGGCTGGGCTGACATCCTCTCCAGACTGCTCTCCCAAACCAATCTCGACCATCCCTCTGCGCAGGGTGAGGCGATCCCAGTCCCATGACCAGGAACCAATGGGAGCTGGGCAGCTGGGTAGGCAACTGCTGCGTGCGTCTACATTCAAGCCAATAATTCCAGCCAGCAAGTACGCGCAGGAGCTGCACAAACGACTGGAGAAGCAGCCTTGGATGCGCGCCAGGAGGCCCGGAGAAGGGGTGCTGCAGCAGAGGCGGATGGGGGGGCAGCAGAGGTTGTTGCTGGATGAAATGCAGATGGCACAGCAGCAGCATCAGCAACAGCAGATGCAGCAGCAGCAGCAGCATCAGCAACAGCAGTCAATGCAGTGGCATTCTTCAATTCAGCAGCAGCAATTGAAGTTGATGCACCAGCAAGAGGAGCTGCAACTGCTGCAGCAGCACCAGGAGCAGCTCACTCGTTTCCAGCACCATCTGCTCTTCCGCAGTCAGTCCACTCCCCCCACGACACATGCTGCCCTCACCTCCTCTGCAATGACCTCTACTGCCAGCACTGCTGGTGGTGGCATCGCTTCTGGGGCAACTGCTGGCACTGCTGCTGCCACTGCTGCTGGCACTGCTGCTGGCACTGCTGCTGGCACTGCTGCTGGTGGTATGGCCTCTGGTGCTGTAGTCAGAGCAAGTGCTGCCACCGCTGCTGGCACTGCTGCAGCCACCGGTGGTGGTGGTGTTGCCTCTGGTGCTGTTGCCACAGCTGGTGCTGCCACCGCTGCTGGCACTGCTGGTGGTGTTGCCTCTGGTGTTGTTGCCACAGCTGGTGCTGCCACCGCTGCAAGCACTGCTTCATCCACTGGTGGTGGTGGTGTTGCCTCTGGTGCTGTTGCCACAGCAGGTGCTATCGCCACAGCAGGTGCTGGTGCTGCAGTCTTGCACTCGCACCATGTGCTTCTTTCCCCCGCCTCTCCACCCACCACCTTGCATGGATACAGCCACACAGAGACGTGAGGTGTTGATGCCTTGGAGCATCGTGCCTCTAAGGAAATCAATGGCTACGAGACTCGCGGTGCTGGCAGCAGTGAAGGAGATGTTGTAATGCAAGAGAATGCGACAAAGGCCTTCAAGCCTGCACACAATGCTGGTGCTGCCGCCGACCAGTCCTGTGGCGACGAGCCGAGTGGTGACCAGGCGGGTGGTGACCAGTTGTGTTCTGCCCAGCAGCATGTCATCTCAGGCTTGAGTCTTCCTCTTCCTCACCCCTCAGCCAGCTTGTCGCTCCTGAGAGACACGGAACACTCTGCTCTTGCTGCTCGGGGCCTCATCTCCCCATCATCTCGCATCCAGAAGACAGCCTGTCACAGCTTCAAGAATCATGTCGATGCTGCCCCCTTTACAGAACATTTAGGAGTCACGAGAGGAGGTTTGGAGGTTGGAGGACAGGCTACAGGTACAGGAGGGTTGTCGTACATCAACTGCCAGACAGGCTACACAAGGAATTTCGAGCATGAAGCATCAACGACCCCTGGTGCTGAAACCTACACCGTTGATGCACTAGAGAGGTTCTTGATGGATCATGGGGAGCATAGGGAATATGAGTAGGGGTGAATTACATGTATTTTCCTCTTCTTTTTAATCAATAGGCATTTTTTTGTTGTCATTGATTTGTACTAAAAGTGTATTTTGTGTGTGTGTGTGTGACTGAGTGTGTGACTGTGAGTGAGTGAGTGTGTGAGTGTGTGTGTGCGTGCGTGCGTGTGTGTGTGTGAGTGTGTGTGTGTGTGTGTGCGTATGCGTGCGTGTGTGTGTGTGTGTGCGTGCGTGTATGTGTGTGTGTGTTTGGATGCATGTGTGCGTGTGCGCATAGGAAATGACCATTGGAAAGGTATTCTGGGCACCCGGGAGCGAAGGCAGCTACCACCGGATGCTCTTGGTGTGTGGAGTGCGTGAATGGGATTGCGTCTGCATGGTGGGGTGTGGTGTGGTGGGGCATGATGGGGTGTGGTGGGCGTGGTGGGGGGAGGTAGCGAGAGCAGCAGAGCTGGTGAAAGAGGGGCTGGGGTAGGGGGATGGGGAAGGGGACATGGGGAATGCGAACTGCGGAGGACTGCGGAGGGGAAAGCGCAACGGGGATTGAGAAAGGGAAAATGGCAATTGCGGAAGGGGACAAGGGAAGGAGGAATCGGAATTCGGGGAAGGGGGAAAGAGAAAGGTCAGAAGGAAGGGAAAATGGGGAAGGGGAAAAGGGAAGGGGAAACTGGGCAGTGGGCATGGGGAAGGGGGAATAGGAAGCAGAACTAAGAAAGTACGCATGTCATGTGATGGCATGGGATGGGATGATGGCTTGGGATGATGGCATGGGATAGCATGGGAAGGCATGGGTCATGGGATGATAATGGCATA